AAAAATTGTTTGTGCGAATGTAATGTGCATCAATGATATGAGGAATTTATTGAATCTTATTTTATACAACAATGGATTTGTATATAAACTATCAATTAATGGTATGATAATTTTATTTAAATTTAGATACCATATTTTATACAACAATGGATTTATACATAAAGCAGCAGAACATAGAATTAACCTATTAGTGGGCTATTCTCATGTGAAACAATCAGTGTTAATTAGCACTATCGTATATACGGTACCTATCATAAAATATGAACATGAAATAAATCGTAACATTTCTATCTAGCTAACAGTTTCTACAATCAGTGATTAATAGTAAACGTCTTTATTCACTAAGGTTTTCATCACTGGAATCCTCGCAGCTCTCTTCGTCAGAAGCAGATTCATTTCTTCTTTCCTCATCATCGTCATCCTCATCCTCGGCGTTTCAGAGCACGTCATCGTCACTGCCATTCAATGCATTTGAAATGCAGCATTTCTTGAAAGATTTCACAATCATTGGTGCTTCGATGCTTTTCCAGACAGCAGAAACCCAGTGTGCAACAATGTGCGGTGCAGCACGCTTAATTTTTCCTGTCGGGGTCAATACACGGCTCACAAAACCATTTTTCGTACTCCGCCTGAACGTACCCCTTAAAAAGTTTATTTATACTAACGTCCAGGGGTTGTAACACAGACGTCATCCCTCCAGGAATGATAACAAGATCACTGCCTAGGCTGTGCATCTTCTTTTTTACGTCGTCGGTGAGATGACCACGAAATGCGTTCAGACAAAGCATTGATGGTGGATTAGAGAGCCCACCGGGACGGCGTTTCCATACATTTCGGAGCCAATCAAGCATTAATGATTCCGTCATCCACCCCTTCTCTTGGTTTCAAATCAGGACATCATCTGGGAACAGCTTTTCATTCTTAGGGGTTTTAGGGCATGTGTTTTCCGTTTGAAGATTAAGAAAGGGGGAAGTTTGCACCCGTCTGCTGTTATTGCCAGCATCACTGTTTTTACGCGTTGTTTTTCACATCCCGAAGTTTTGATGATAACTTCCTTAGTCCCCTTCCTCCGTAATGGTGTAGTTTACGAGGCATATCAAACCAAATTGGCCGTCTCGTCAGCGTTGCCAATTTGCCCCATTTGAAAAATTCTTTTTCCTTCTGAAGTGTGATGACATACCGCTGAAATGTTAGTAGTTTTCCCTCAAAATCTGCAGGAAGCTTTTGGCATATTGTTGTACGGCGTCTTAGAGATAAGCCCATCCGCTTCATAAACCGATCCACCCATCCACGGCTAGCCTTAAACTCTTGTTTCGGTAATTTCCAAGAACTTCAGCCTCCTCTTTTGCTTTATTTCTTATGGTGTCACTAGTCACAGGTTGTCCATTCTTCCTCCTTTCACGTACAAATTCCAAAACTTTTTCTTCAATTTTAGGGTGTCTTCCTTTGCGAGGGCCAGTGAATTTCTTTCTACTAGCTTTAGTTGCAAACAGTGCCAATTTCTGTTGCTGCCACAAGCGAACATTGCTCTCAGCTACGTTTGAACTCTCTCCCTGCCTTTCTATTGCCATTTTTTTCAGCATAAAGAATTACTTTATGTTTGAAAGTAGCGTCATATGACAGTCTTCTCTGTTTGCCCTCCATTTCGTGACTACGTACTCTGCAGTTTGTATCCTCTATGCAATAATGTGTCAACGATAAATGTAACGGTAAATGTAGTCGAGAAATACAGTAATCCATTGTTAAGATTTATATTTGGTTTGACGTCATCGGCGAACTTTGCACTCGAATCTAATGCACACCCCAATTTTGAATACTACATTTGGCCAAAAACGATGCGCATTAGATTCGCGTAAATACGGTAGTTTTAATGTAAACCATAGCTAAGAATAAAAATTTAGTACAGTACAAAGTCCGTAATCCGGACTCGTCGGGACTTCGGCGATTCTGGATTATAGATCATCAATTTAAATCTGGTAAGATGGCATGCAGAAATTATACAATTAAAAATATGAAACTGTAATTTATGAAATAAAGAGAAATTATGATCTAAATGTTATCAAAATTTACAAAAAAAAAAAAAAGCTTACTATTTATTTGTTTACTTTATTAAACATTTCTTTCAATGTAAGTTGTTTAAGTTGCTTCATTTCTTGTGCTAATACTTTCCCTTTAATTCTATAAACAGACATAATTTCTTCAGTTACAAAGAAATACATAATTTGTTCAGTTACAAAGTTCCACTGTTCAAGTCCTGTAATTGCTGTGTCGAGAATACCGACTAACTTGTCAATAACCTCTCTGTCACTTTCTTCACTATCGGAAGCGGTATTTTCTGGATCTAGAACCATACTACAGATAGATTTCGCAGTCTGTTAATTGATTGATGATTGGGGCATTGTCGTCGCATTGAAAACTTTTGTTATATCATCTTCATTTATTACTGCTTCTCCACATTTGTTTATAAAATCCAATAACTGAAAAATTTCACCTTTAGTTTGCGATGACCGAAAACCTTCAAATTTGCGGCTATCATCTTCATCGTCCTCACTATGAAATATGGTAGCTGGCCATAAATTATGCCAAGCATTTTTTAACATATCTGGCAACACATTCTCCCACAATCTTGTGATGCTCCACACAGCAGATTTTATGCTAAAAAATTTCAAAAAGTCTTGCCATTGTTCAAGAAATTTAACATGTATTTTAAAAATGCTACTTCATATTTGCATTTCAGCGTGCACACTATTCTGCTAGCCATAGGTTGAATGAAGGATGTACAATTTGGAGGAAAGAATAATATAGATATATTATCTTTCACTAAAACTTTAAGTGAAGTAAGCGCCAAACAGTTGTCAACAATCAGGACTATTTTTGAGTCATCAGGTAAACCAACCGAATTCAAATATCGCCAAGCTTCGGGTATAAAAATGATTTTCAAACCAATCATTCATCAATGCTTGTGTCATCCATGCTCTTTTATTTGTGCAATAAATATAGGGGAAAATCGTTACTCCTTTAAACGCTCAAGGTCGTGCATGTTTTCTGATTACAAAAATGCACTTGTGCGCTCCTGCAGCATTTGCGCGCTAAAATTGTTAGTCTCACTTTGGAATCTTTGACACCAGTTGGAGCCTTTTGCGTAGAGGTTTCCAAGGTATTTCGCGGTACATATCGCCAGAAAAGACCAGTTTCATCAGCGTTGTAAATTTGCTCTGGAGATTACTGTTCACTAGTAATGAGTTCAATGAATTCATCTGCAAATTTTTCAGCAGCTTCAGTATCAGCTGAAGCTTTTTCACCTGAAATTTTTAATAGTCTTATATCATGGTGAATTTAAATTTGGTTAACAAACCTGTCGCATGTGTGCCCTCAGTGTTTAAATTCATTTCTCATTGAAATATTTTGGCATTGGAGTCGTCAATGGCACATCCTCGCTGCGATGCTGTCTGACCCATTCAATCATCACTTTGTCATGATCGTCCCTTTTAGCATAACGAACCCTTTTTCTCTTATTCATTGCAAGTGGGGTTTCGGAATCCACAAAAAATTCAAAAAGTTAATTTTTCTTTTTGCTTATGTCATATACAGTTGACTTTCCAATGTCATACTCCTCGCATAATTTTGAGACGAATAATGCTTTATCCATTTTTTGCTGCAATTCCACTTTTTTGATGGACATCGAAACATGCTTTCGCTTTGTAGATCCTTTGGCAACTCCAGAATTGGAAAATCTTTTTGACATAATCGAAAGTTCAAGCTTAATTTTTATAAAATTGCTCTAACAATCTGCAAAAAATAATAAGTCAGATCCAATTAGAAGATTAAGGAACAGCACAATCTGCAACATTAACTGAAATACCTTAGAATCAGTAAAGATAATTTTAGCCTAGCTTATACCATGCATTATACATTAAATGCACATGCATAAAGCATACCAAAAAAGGGTCAGGATTATAGATCATTCCATATAATGGACGTCCAGATTACGGACTTTGTACTGTATTATCATTTTTAATCATAACTCACTAAAGTACAATAATTTGTAAAATATCAGTTTTAAAAGTAACATGTGATACACATTTTGATTATTTTAAAATTTTATTATACTATTTGTATCACAATAATCATAAAACTATATCTATCTATGCATATGTCATCTTAGTTAACAGATGCCAGTTAGCATGGCAGTAGGTTCAGGTTCCTGGAACTGGTGATATTTCTAATTCTACCCATATGCATAAAAATCAGTTTATTCCTTGTGGTGCATTCTGGATATCACATACACGACACTCAAAGTAGCTGAATTTCACTATTATACTATGATAAAGCATTAATGCATTCCCAACAGAAGAAACATATGTAGTTACTTCAGTAAAAAAAAAAAAATAAAAATAAAAAAAAATAAATAAATAAAAAAAAATCATCACAATACATTGCTTTTATGCTATAACTATGTTATTTCTCTTCTGACTCCATTCTTCTCTCTTATCAGAACAATTCTATGGTCTCAATATTTTACAATAATTTAGCTATTCAAAATGATTACACAACTAATATATGATTAATATAAAAAAAGTCATTTTCTGATACTATCAAGAATGTAAAGAGGACTGCACCAAGTATATATGTTCCAGACAAAATTATTTCGAAGATGACTACATGATAAGTTTTATATTTCAAACAGAGTTGGCCTACGAGCACTTTTTTGTGAACTTCATGAACAGAGGAGTATATTTGAACAAAGGTAAAGCAGAAATGTAGGTGATAAATTTCTGAACACCTGTGTTTTTCAAAACTAGTTATGTGAAAAGTAACAGGGGAAATTTTAGCCGCTTGTACTGCTATATGCTTTTAATGCTTTTTATTTAAGATATCAAAAAAAAAAAAAAAACAAGTAACATGAAAAATTTTATCACTGTATGTATTTGTTAATAATACATAAACTGTTTTTTGAAAATTAATACACAAATATTTGAAAAGTCAACATAATACTGAACCTTCTTCGATCCATTTCTATGCTATCAATGATTGAATTACGCTGATCTACAATATCTATAAGTTCCATCATTAGTTCTTCTTCTCTAGACTTATCCTCCTCAGTTCTTTCAGATTCTGAAGGAAAAGAGAAAAAAAATTCAATTACTTCTGCAATGTACATTGAGGGCATTTTTAAATTTACATGCATTTATACATTATTTCAGTAATTCATGAATATATATATATATGTTACGGTGAAACACCGAAATCTGGAGAATGTCGACTTTCACCGGTGAATGTCAACATTCACGTAGTCGCTTGGTGTATGTCAGAAATATTTTCCAAATACTCTTATTTCTGACTTACACCGGTAAATGTCGACATTCACTATGCACTATTGGTGAATGTTGAACATATAAGAATATTATATTTTCTTCTCCGTAATTCAGTCACGAAAACACGCATCGGCATACACCAGTGAGGGTCTGAATATACAAGAATGTAGTGCACGTTGGTGAATGTTAACATTCTCCATTTAAAGTCAACATTCTCCAATTTCAGTCTTTCACGGTAACACATATACTCCTCTCTTTTTGACCTACACCAGAGTATATCTGTGATTGTCGACATACACCGGTGAGGGTCCGAATGTACAAGAATGTAATGCCATCTTTCACCGACGTATTTGGTGAATGTTGACATTCTCTGGTAAAAGTCGACATTCTCCAATTTCAGTCTTTCATGGTAACATATACATTTGTACCCAAACAAGCACACACATTAACCCTCTGAGGGGCCAGGGTTTTCGCTAAAAAAGCACAAATTTCCCAAAACTACTACGAGAACAAATTATATATTTTTTATTTTAATGCAAAAACTCTCCTGGTGTTTCATACCTGGATTTGTTTTCTTTTGATTTATTGCCTTAATTTTTTTGACATATTTTAATATGCACATATATATGTAAGTTCTTACAGATATCACAAAAAATATTCTAGGCCGTATATTGCCGCTCAGAGGGTTAAAGTTTCACCATGTTTGTTAGAATGAACCCCTTGCATTCATTTAAAATACATAAAATGAATACTAAGATGACATTATGGAGAATGGTTTGATACAGTGAAATTTCATTTAGTATAATTCTCATCAGGCCACTCACACGGGAAAGTGATTAATGACTTACTGAAGGGCCCGGGTGTGAATCCCAGAGAAGGCATGGATGTAAATTGTTTGTCCCTTCACAGGAGGCAGTGATGGCCATCTAGTACATGCCACCATATTAAAATGATCACTACTTCTGGCCTTAGAAGTGGCCAAAGCCTAAAATGGCTACTGCCCACCATAAAATAATAATAATAATTCTCATCAGCTATAGACTTTCTGTACCAGTCTTGTATTGGAAAGGTTACTATAATAAGTGGTTGTTATACTGACCACTTATAGCAATAAACCATGAATTTACTATCCAAGTGTTCAAAAGTAAAACTTTGGATATTTTATGGCATCAGCAAGCCATGCAATTATATTAGTTTGAGCATTTATAGGAAATACAAAACATTTTTACATAATTTTCTTAAACTTTACAAAAAATATATGCTCTAATATTAACATAACTCCTACTTTCATAAACTGGTTGCTAAGTGGTTACAAAACCACTTAGCAACAGACAAAGTAAAATACTAGTATAAAACAGAAATACATGAATTTTAAGTTGAACTCGTAAATTAAATAACACTTTACCAGGTTTGGCCTGTAACTGGCGAATTTTTGCATCAACTTCCTGTTGCTGTTCTTCAAGTCTTTGTGAACGTTTTCTAAATTAAAATATGAAAAATTAAATAAGATTCTTTGTTTAAGCACATTCAAAAAGACAAAGTATCAGAATACTTTTTTAAGGCATAGTAATAAAAAAATAAATAAATAAAAAAATTTAAATGAAAAAAATCTGAAAGGTTTCAGATTTTAAATTAAGTACAAAGGGGCTTTTTTTTTTAACATTTTGTGTGTTACCTTTATTTATTAAATATCATGCTCTTTGCACTTAAACCATATAAAATTCAGTTCAATAGCAATGTCATAAAATAATTTTAAAATAAGCATATCTTTAGAATTTCCTATACACAGTTCCGCACGCTGGAGAAAAAAAGGTTCCCCCCCTGTAGAGAGTTGCCATTGCTCGCTTTTAAATCATCGAGTTTTTTACTCCAAAATTCGCTAAAGTTTTACAAAATATGAAATTGATAATAAATAAATTTCAAATTTGGTCTTCCACATGCCCATAATCATAGGAGGATTATGTCATTCAAAATTCGATGGCTCTATGTACCGTTGTTTTATCACAATGCGAGAAATATACATACATTTATGCAGATTTTTCATTATTTAATTTCTTCAAATATAATGCAAAACTCTAACATTTGGTGGCAACAGTCTGAAAAGTGAAACGGACGTTTATAGCGATTCCACGCAAAACGAAAACAATAGTCCTTCAGGAACAAAACCCCTTTGGACTAATAATACAAAATTTAAATGTCAGTAAAATTTGACAGTCTGAAGAACATAAAAATAACTTTACTGTTGCTGTTCAGTTACATACTTCTTCAAAATGGTTATTTACTTATTTCAAAAAAAGCAATGGTCATGCCCAGCAGTTAGGAAGTCATTCAGAGTATATATATATATATATATATATATATATATATATAAACTTATGCTTGAAGGGAAGGAAAAAAACACATAACTGATTATTACAATCAACACATATAAAAAAGGGAGGAAAAGAAAGAATTGAAACATTCGCATATTCCACATAAAGGTACAGAGAATCAAGTTTGATATAAAATAGTTCTTGAGAAGAAAGCTTCCTTCTGAATAATTATGACTTTCATTAGATAAGAAAATGAAAATATTTTGATCATAACAAACTCTTAAAAAGTATAATACATATGACAGCTTGAAGGTGTAAAAAAGAAGTGCTTTTTAAATCTAGATCATTATACAAAGAACCTACTATGTGATAATTGGGATAAGACAGAATATATGTTAAAATTATATTAGGGAGAATAATAAAATGAAAATATTAGCATTGCATTTTAGATTAACTTCATATCAGTCTATTCTGATGACCATTACCTGTTTAAAAAGTAACATAACCACAATAGTAATTACCAGAAATGGAATTATTTGCAATTTTATGTATTTGTTGCTCTAACAATAAGCCAGACAGATTGAAATCTGTCAAATTTTGACATACATAATATCAGAAATTAAACTAGCGATTAATAAATAAATGTGGCACTGCATGATTTTTATTTCAAATTCAATTTATATTAAAAAACTATATTTATTCAAAACAAGTCACATTTCAGATGGCAAAGGATCGCAAGTAGCTCGCAAGCCGCAGTTAAGGTGTCAGAGAGCCGCAGTTTTGCCATGTCTGCTATATACCATTAACATCTGGTAGTAGGAAAAAATATGATTCTATACCGTCAACATCTGGTAGAAGGAAAAAATATGATTCTTCAAAGGCAGATTTTCTATGAACACGAAACATGCATTAGAACCCACTGTGGGAAATAGAAAAAAAATTAAATACTTTGCAACAATGTCATATGTGCTCCATCAAGAAAATATGCAGTATAACATTGCATATGTGTAAATTTTGAAATGTATCCTTGCCCAAATGAAAGTGCTTTGAAAGATATTACACATTAAAGTATTATAAAATTTGTGATTTTTTAACTCTTAAATGACAATGGTTTTGCCATGAAGTAGAGGTAATTCTGAGAACTAATTCAAAAAATTCATCTGTAATATGGTGAAAGTTTTAGATGTATACACCAACTTAAGATGTGTTAATAAATTTTAAACACTTTTTACAAGTACATGCTGCTTTTCAAACTTTTCCTGAGGAATAGTAAAAATGTTTCATTCAAAATACAGTTTTATTATACTAAAGGTAATGAAATATAAAATTGATTATGGATATAAAATATTATTAAATTAAAGCACAGAACTTCAGGGATAAATTGATAGGAAAAAGTATCTTTTTCCAAAACTGTTCTTATTATTAAAGTGATTTCTACAAGAAAATAACCTGCATTTACAGGAAAATCATGAGAAAGCTTATGCAATGTCTGTTTTTTCACAAATCAAATCACAAAAGATACACCAGAATTCCAAGGCTTGGGGTACTTGGCCACTGATAGGTCTTATGAAGTTTCTTATTTATGTTAAACGTAGAGTCGATTACACTGTCGATAACAATCTAAAAATACGAATAAAAAAGAATTAAAATAACCAATAACAAATATACTTACATGTACATTAATTCTGCCTGTCTTCGGAACAAAGCATTTTTCTGGTTAACTAACTCAAATAACTGCATAATATATTCTTCTTCTTCAACAGATGGTTCCTCATCTGTAATAATATGTGTTTAAACATGGCTAATCATTTCAAATTGTGAACATTCATGGCACATAATATGAAATTATTATATGCATGACAACAGTATTATGACAGTGTTATGGGGCTCAGCCATTGCCTCCTAGATATAAAGCCAATGGACAGGTTGCAGAAACAAGTGTGACGTCAAAGTTAGTAGGCTCACGTGATGTTCTCGAGGTTTGGATTCTCAAGTGAGAAGCCATTGCTTTGCGGTGTGGCATAGAGTGGAATGTTAGCACATGCTGTGGATTAGCAAAAATACTGCATAAATTCATATTTATTGTAATGTAACTTTATATTTTGTTCATTGAAATAAATGGTTGCTATTACTAATGTTGAATTAAATTAAGTAGTAATTGCTAAGAACACACATATACCTATTATGTTTATGTTAGTATTATCTACACTACAGGTGCTTCTAAATCATTAGTAGATTGGCCATTATTATTATTATTATTAATTTTATTTCTGAATTTACTTAATATATTTTGTTTAGGTGTTACACTGAAGTTTTCATTTTATGTTCACTGTATCTAATGTTACGTATATTCTTTTATAAAAGTTTTATTATTTCACTACTGTTTTATGAATTTTTAACCTGATCTTTTACATAGAGCTTAACAATTTTTAAAAATGTACTTCAAAGTAAACCTATACTACACAATAAATCTAGTTAAATTACATAATTACATACAACAGTTAACAAATGTATGCATAATTTTATTGTCATACAGAAGCTCATAAGCCCTGAATATGAAAAGTTTCCTGCAAGTATCTAATGTACACTGGTGTGCAAAAATTAAGGACGAAGTCGAAAAATTAGCATATCAGCTGAACGAAGAGGCAGAGCGGACAGAAAGACCAATCAGGAGATTAAGGAAGGTGATGTATGATAGCACATGCGCAGATATGCAGGTAGACGTAATGGGGAAGTGTCTGAGTAGTATAAAGCATGTTGTCGGTGTAAGATCAGCATTTCTGGCAAAGAGATTGCACGCCGTATAGCAGTTAAAATCACACCGAGTTGCAGCCTCAGTGAGAAATGGTGAATAATCAATCTGTTAGACGATATCTGGATGCTTTTACCCGAGGTCGAATCATTGGGAAGTTGGAGGAAGGCCGCAGTGTGACAAGTGTGGCTGCAGAGTTCGGAATTGCTCACAGCATCGTTTCACGACTTTGGAGACAATTTCAAACTACAGGAACAGCTATCCGGGGGTTTAGTAGTGGTCATCCACGAGGAACCACACCCGCAGATGACCGGTATATTGCCTTACAGGCCAGAAGAAACAGGCGGCAGACAGCGGGAGAAATCTCTAGGCGACTGACTGGATACACACGAAGGTGTTCTCTGTGGTGCCGGGAACACCGGAATTGGAGAGACAATGAATGGGGACGAGTACTCTTTACGGATGAGAGCAGATTCAGTCTGAGTAGCGATTCTCATCGCATACTCATCTGGAGAGAGTGGGGAAGCCGCAATCATCCCTCGAACATCATTGAAAGAGACAGGTATGGAGGTGGTGGTGTTCTCGTTTGGGGAGGCATCATGCTTGGTAGTCGTACAGACCTTCACATCTTCGACGCAGGTTCAGTCAATGGGACCCGTTATTGTAACAAGATTTTTCTTCCATATGTGCATCTTTTTTTTAGAGGCGCTATGGGTCCGCAGTTCCTTTTCATGGACGACAATGCACCATGTCATCGCACAGTAGCTGCCGAACAGCTCTTAGAGAGTGAGGATATTGAATGTATGGATTGGCCGGCACGATCTCCGGATCTCAGTCCCATTGAGCATGTATGGGATTTTCTAGGCAGACGCTTGGCAGCTCGTACCTTACCACCAGTAACGATTCCGGAGCTTCGATTGGCGCTGCAAGACGAATGGGCAGCAATGCCTCAACAACTCATTGACACCCTCATTCTCAGCATGGGCAGACGCTGTGAAACCTGCCTAGCAGTCAGGGGAAATCATTTTCCCTATTAAAGACCGGATGTTTCTTGCTGGACACCCATCACAGGGATGTTTCGGCCTTCAGTCGCATTGCGCTCCATGCTACTTTTTCAATAAAGCTTCTTTTTATCCCTCTGATTTCTCTTTTAATAAGTGTTGCTTACTACATTACTCATGTCCTTACGTATTGGGGATCTTACGGTATTAAATGTGTTGATTTGGAAAGCTTTTGTACAAAGTTATATTGTAAAAACCGTCTCGTCCTTAATTTTTACACACCAGTGTAACTTAATATCCACTATGACATTAGAAATTCTTATGTGTAAGGAAATTAAAATTATTTCTTGTAAAAAACCATTTATCACTTAAAATTATGCAATTGCTAATATACTCATGTACAACTTTTGGCTTGGAAAATAATTTTATCGTATTTCACTTTTTAATTTTGATTACTATCTAAACATGCATTAGTAAGTATATTTGTAATTTTACTATTTTTGTAATTTAATTTCTTGTTTCTCTATTAAGTAAAACATTAAAAATTATGGAATTGTATTTAAATATGTTATTTAAATAAATAATTTTTAAGACTTAATTTGTTATATTGTATTATTTTAAACATTTTATATAGGTAACAGCAATAGTTGTCCATTACATATTTTATTTTAATGACTGTTTCTGTTATCTCTTATATCTCAGGAAAATACTTGACATTTTATTTCAAGGAAACAAAAAAACCAGCTGGGTTGTTCTGTAGAGCAAGGTTTTAAATTTTTAAATCGTGTTCCTAAAGCAGAATTGCTAATTCATGGTTGTAGGTTTAGTTCAGATAGTATGTTTTGGTTTAATGCAATGTTAATTACCTTTTGAATTATTATCTATTGATACTGTTGGTGGTTTATTATAATTCTATTAAAAAGTATATTCACTTTATTATTGATCATGCGACTTGTTATATATGGACTTTTGCTTCTAAAAGTGTAACTACAGATAGTTACATAAATTGTTTAAGACAAATTTTTCAAATTCAAGTACCAAAGAAAATTTTAAGTGATAGAAACGCTGCTTTTACCTCTTAAAAATTTAAGCACTGTTTAAGAAATAAAATGTAAAACAATTATTAACTACTGCTGACAGGCCTCAAACTAATGGTAAAGTTGAACAAGTTAATCAAACAATTATAACTACATTAAAGTATAAGTTAAATTCTTATCAGAGTAATATTGCATGGACAAAATTGTTACCTCAGGTTGCTGAAGACTATAATAATAAATCTCATTCTATAGCGAAATTCCCACAATCTTATTTAATGTATGGAAAATTACTTTATGATGCCCTATTTGAAAATCAAGAAATCTATCCACCAATCATTTCTTAACATAAACATCTTATTTAATTATATCTTATATAAATATGTTATAATTTTCACACAGTTGAGAGTACATAAGACTAATAAATATAATTTTTCCTTGCTGAAATTTTTAAGTCTGATTTTCAAGGAACATGATTTTATAAAAACATCTAATATTGTATCTAACAGATGAGCTAAAAACAACATATCAGAAATTTTTAAGATACCAAGGAGTTATGGTTTTCAGAACTGATTTTTAATTGAATGATTTGAAAATTCAGCTTCTAATACTTTTACGAAACCAAATTTGATATTTAAGATAATTAAGTTTTGCTAAGTATTAAATCTTATTACATTACATATAAAATTTTAATGCATTTTTAATGAGTTTTATTGCTTCTGTATTGTAATGTGAGTATAATTATGATAATTTTGTTAGAAGCTACTCATTTTAATTTTAAAGTTAATAATATTTATTTGATCTTAAATTAGTATTTATTCTAAAGTTTTAATGACTTTCATTGTTTTTGAAAAGATACGTGAGTTTAAAAACAATATATCTATTTCTTCTTTCTCTTTATTTATTTTTTTTATAGACAGAAAACAAAAATATGAAGTCTGTTTAATTTTCTATAAAGCGTTCTCTAATTCATGTTAAAGAATGTGATAAGCAGCATTAAAAGTGTGCTAGTAATAGCTGTGTTTCCTACTAAGGAGCTGGCCCACCAGCGGCCGAGCGGTAAAGACGCTGAACACTGGTAGTTCGGTCCGAGGTTCGAATCCCGCGAACGGGCTGGCTGCATGGGCGTTTTCGTGGTTTTCCCCATGTGTAACGTGTATACGAGCCAGTTTCCCTTAGAAAGTCCTCCACGAAAGGCATCCCTCCCCTTAGGCAGATAGCCCTAGTGTGCTTTGCCATAATTAAATACACCACATACACCTACTAAGGAGCTAGTCTGAAAGAAATAAGAATTAAGATTTCATTTAAAAATATTTCATAATTAAACTATTTGAAATAATTAGCAAAATAATTGTTATTGAGGTGATAAAAACATTTCGAAACACTTTTTCATAATCTTAAATTTTCAGGTATCATCATAGAAGTATTTTTAATCATTAAAGAGATATATTTTAAGTAATATCAGTCTAATCAATTGAAAACAGTTTTCAAAGATATTCCGATAGTAACATAACATTTTATTGCAGAAATACAGTTTCTGGATTATTCTGAGAGTTCATTATTTTATGCAAATTGATACTGATATGCACGGAGAAATTATCGCTATCGGAAGTTCTGCCAAATCGTATTCTACGACCTAGTGCTTGTGACGTAAGAGACCAGTTCGATGGCTTTATATATCTAGGAGGCAATGGCTCAACTTCATTCTCAAGATAATTACTTCTAACAAGTTAATCCACCAGTCATACATCCTAAAACTATCTGAATGATTTTAAAAAAAAATATGTTGATGATAATTTTTTGTAATTTTTATTTACAAATTAATATTTTATATGATATATATATATATATATACATATTTACTTAATAATAAACAGATATATTCTTAATATTTAATTATTATAGCTGATAGTGTGTGTGTGTATATACATATATATAAATTCAAAGAGAAGTAAAAGGTCAGAACGTAAATTAAATATGAATTTTGT